CCCCAAAACCCCAAAACCCCAAAACCCCAAAACCCCTTCCAAACCTACGCAAATAAACCATAATAATTTTTAATCAACAATGTCTTCCCCTCTCACAAAATCTCCCAAATCCCCCAAAGTACTGTCACTTAATTTCAAGATCTCTATCCTACTGGGAAAACGGTTAGGGCTTAGTTTAGGAAGAAATTGGTTGGGTTGGGTGGTTTGAAGGTGTTATGGATGTAGAGTTATGGGCGTGTGGTAGTGACCTTTAGAGGGGTTAATTAGTGGCTGAGTAGGGATAGTTATACTGTAATTGGATCAGATTGAGATGGGTAATTAAGGTAGTGGTTGTTGGTAGTTTTGGTTGATTTCTAATTACTCTTTTAGAAGTCACCTAGGATGAAGAAGGATGACTATATTCCCAAATTTTACAAAATGGAAGAGGTCTTAGAACTCAAAGACATGCATGACCAGTTCAAGAAGAGCAAGGGTCTCTCTAAGATCGAAAACAGTAGGACCTCTCGTGTTGATATGTAGATGAGGATCTGTACAAACTCAGCATGCTAGCATCTGTCAAAGAAGTACTCTTTATGCCATAATTTTAGACACATTTCAATGTCCATTTACACCAGAGTTTCAGAATTTTGAGGGAAATGAAATAAGATTAGAGAAGAACTATCAGAGAAAGGCTATAGACACAAGGTTCAGACTTACTCCAGGAGTTATAAAGGCGACTTTGACCCCTATCAGGTTGGGAATACAGCGAAGAAATCGAAAATAAGACACCTTAAAAGCCATAATTCTATGACAAATAGTACTCTTTATGTTATTCTTGTAGGGAAAAATGCCACAAACACTCAAAGAGCTCTTTCTAAGAGTAATAGCTACAGTGAAAGGACTGTGAAAAAGGATCCTCATAAGGAATTCTGCAACCTCGGGTCGTTCCTTACATGTAATTTTTACCATAACTTTCTAGTCTATCAAAAATAGGATGATGACGTCGAATGGAAGCTCCAATTCCGTCCTTAAATATGAAGATAAACCAGATTTCGAGCTTGATTTTCCCGCTTATTGTAAAGCTCAGTCCATACTTGGAGATGATCTCAAGCGGAAGAGGAGGAATCTGAGCTCAATTCAAGGGTTCAAGAAATTAGACAAGTCTGATACCAACTTAAAGTCGTTATTAATCCAAAATTCCTCAAGGAAGCTCCAAGTACTTTGAATTTTTATTTTATAGAAAATAACAAAAAGGATCGAAGGGATGATGAACAATAAAAGAGAGACTATCTTTGATAGACAGAAAGATCAGGAACTCGAGGTTCTCCTAAACCAAGAAATAAATACCCTGAAGGTAAGTCAAACGTCTTATGTAATAGAGCAAGCATGGGATCCAGATTATGAGCAAGAAGAGTAAAGAGATCATTGAGAAATAAAACTCAGGAAGACCCAAACTGGAGAAGGAAAGTAATGAGGTATTGCCTTGATAACCTGCTAGATCACGGATAAGTAGATTACTTATTTCAGAAAGTGACCACAAATCAAGATCGAAGAACAGTTCATTCCAAACTGCAAATGATTTCTTCATTACTAATACTTCTGTGAAGAAAGGGATGCTGGATAGAAGGACAAATTGCAGGACTTCTTTTGATCAACCTATCGAGGACTCATCCCAGAGGTAAGCATCCTGCTTAACCCATACACATAGATCAATCACGGATAAAGTTTTTGACGCTGTAAAAGAGCTGAAAAGAAAGCATAAAAGATTTCTGAAATTCTCTAAAAGGAAAAAGAACAAAATCGGGCTTAAAATTTCTCCTGTTAAGAAGTTGTTTCAATATCTTCAGATAATTATTAGAATTATACAGTTAAGAGCTTTGTTGTTTACAAGCTTAATTTTAATCCGCTTTATACTCTATAGATACATTACTAATTCTATAAAGCAGCATTTTCATGACTCTTGAGCACTGCATTAATCTCTCCGAGCATCCAAAAACTATATGCTTCATTCATAGCTGTTCGCTCTAACTGGACATCCAAATCTTCTCCTTAACTACCCCATTTACTAGTTTAAAACTTCCTAAACTTATCATCCTGAAGTACATGATGTGGCTCTTAAGAAAGTTAAGTCCAAAATATCCATTTGTTATTCTCGAAATGAAAGTTGGTAGAGAACCAGAACGGGGGATTTAGACCTCAGATCAAGCGATAAGGCGTATTTTAGAGGTTTTAGCTAAGAATTCATGGGTATATTTAGTTTAGAGGACTCTTAGAGCTGAAACAGTTGCTTTCAAATGTGGTTTGTGATTTAAGAGAATGGAAGAAATTGTTTGGAGGCTTTTTCTAAGAATCTTGGAGAGGGTAAATACCTTTTAATTGTTGGTAAAGATTCATCCATTTGTCAATGGTTTAGGGAGGGATTAGTTCGGAGGATTTAGGACGAGCAATGAGGTTTTAGTTCATATTCATGAAGCGATGAGAATGAAAAGGGTGATTTCTGTGTACTCTCTAATCTTTATTGTAAATATTTGCCTATAATTCTTGAAATAAGGGGTTTTGGGGTTTTGGGGTTTTGGGGTTTTGGGG